TGACCCAGGCTGGTTGTGAGTGGGGAATCATGGGAAAGGGACAGGCTGAACTGGAAGTCCGTCAGAGGGAGAGAGGAAACGAATGCCCAGGTGTCCGTCCATGGATCATACCTCTCCACAGCAGTGTAGACACTTGTGATGGAGTCGGGAGTCACAAGGGAATCCAGATACCAGCCGCCCACAGCAAAGATTCTCCCTTCACACACTGCTGCACTGAAGTGACGCCTGTGCTGAGAGGTATCATGGATAGTCACATTTGAAATTTGACCTTTATTCATGTATTTCTGATACTTAGAAGTGAAACTTGGGTTTTGGGAATGAGATCTTTAAGGATAATCAGTTCCAGACAGAAATCTGCCCATGCTTCGCTATATTATCTTTAGGCTATAAAGTTGGAACATGGTAAACCGGTTTGTTGCTGGTCAAAGGTGGTCTGTTGGACTTAACCAGCTTGAAATTCAGCAGGTCAACTACTTAAACCACCTTGAAACCTTTAGAGTAGATGATTATACTATCATTGGCAAAGATATTGACATTTATCCTATGGTATGCAAATGTTCTAAAGTTCATACCTTAATCAGAGGAGCTGTTGATACCCATTGATTGGTAAAGGGGTTGTACCGGAAAGAAGCCATCTTGAATTCATAACCCTTTTTTACACGGTGTCTGTAACCCCCTATGAGATAGAGGTAATTATAGAGAACCGCTGTGGTGAAGCACCACTTATCTGCACAAAAAGGCAAATCTGTGGGAGAACTCCATTTCCCATCATCCCCGTCTTCCTCCAGCCTAAAGAGTCTTCGGACAGCCTCGGTTTCCAGGTCATTACTTGAGGTCAAGTTCTCTTTTCTCAAGCAGCATAAGAATGGACTTCCCTTTGACCTTAAAGTGAGAAGCTCCACTTTATGGTGTGGTTCCAATCCCTTGCTCAGGTGTGGAAGCTCTAGCAGATACTTGCTCAGGTAGGTTAGGACAGTCTCTTGGAGCTCCACACAGCAGAGCTCCTCAGCCAGCTGTAGATACCCCAAGCAGGTCCACTCCGTCAGGGCCTGAGAGAGGGCCATCAGTAGACAATCTGTGAACCCAGAAGCCAATAGGTATGTGCTTACCCGTAGGTGTTCCCCAAGGAGATCTTCAGGAACACAAAACCGCTGTCGAAAGCAAAATTCTAGAAGGTTGTGGAAGACTGGAGAGGGAATATGTTCAAGGTGCACCAGCCGTTCAGACGTCTCTCTCATAGAGGAGTGGGACAGAGCCTTGAAATACTCACTGCAATCTGCAAGCTTCTCCAGATCCACCTGGAAGTGCCAAGAAGCATGACATCTTGCATTTGTGGGCCAAGATTTTTACAGTCTGTGGTTTATGTTTGCTTATGTAGATACTCACATGGAAAGTATGTGTGCTGGTTTGCACCATCACCATTGGTCCATTGCTCTGGTGCCGATAGGTTCTGTAGTCTTGATTTGTTCTCCAGACATCTGACTGTAGGTTATCAGACTTCTCTTCAACAACATCAGAATCTGCTTGTCCAAACTGAACCCAGTTTAAACTACTTTTGAAGCACAAAAACCTCTGTATCTCTTCTAAACGTCTTTTTATCCATGTGAAAAAATAAATTAAGGCCACAACTATAATCTGCCATAGATTAGCCATGTTCCCATTTAGGTAGAATACTCTGATAGTTGAAGGATTTACAGATTTTGTATACCTATTCAGCTGCAATTTGAATTCAAATATTGCATTTGGAACTATTCTAGTCTATGATTCTAAAGAAAATCTGACTCACAATCCCAGCCAAGGACATGTCATTCCATGGTGGATGGAGGATAAATCCAGCCTGCTTTTTTTGGTAGAACATGCATGGTTGTTTTCAAGGCTCAATATGGCGCCCGTGTGCCAGAGCAAAAGCAGTAGAGCTATTTTAAGGAATCGTTGGAACAGGAAACAAAATCTGGTGGGCCACTCTGTTCAGTCTACTGAATTACACAACACTTGAACCATGTTAGTAACTGATGATGCTTGATTACAATATAATGTAGAGTATATATATATATTCATGTTTTTTTTACTGGTACATTTCTCAAATTCGTATTGAGAAATATTTTGAATAGTGCATTATTTTAATAATAAATTGTAAGATGAGACATATTATGGCAGACATTAAAGGTGCTCTAAGCGATGTTGGGTGACGTCACTTCTTGTTGATGTTCGAAGTATTGTCAAACAAAACGGAGGCTAGCTAGACCTTCCCTCCTCCTCATCCCGTCCCTTCCCCCTGTAGTTTTACTGATACTTCATTCAAGGTGTAATGTCGCCAAGTTAGATAAATGCTTTCATATAATGCAGAAAAAGAGAAACATTACCAGAAAAACACGATAAAACGTTTCGCCACCAGAGGTTATAACTTTAGCTCCCATACAAGGACGCAATAATAGCAAGATAACGTTAGCTTCGCGTTTCCCAGTGAGCATAAACAACGGCTCCGTCGTAAACAAATTTAAGTTGTCAATATAGGCTATAAATAAGCATTCAAATTCATAACAAACAGTTGGTGAAAACAATCATTCACACAAAGTGTCGCCCTACTGTGTGTTTGCTTGATCATTTACAATAGAGATTAATAGCTAGCTGCTAGAGACCTATGTTGTATTCATCAAAGTTAGCGCTGACTGCATTGTTCAAGCTAATTATATCCTTGTGTTTGTTAGGCGAACATGGAAGTCCATTTAGAAAAAACAAACTGGATTTACCCACCTGTCCAGCAAAAACAGAGCTAACTTAACAGCCTGATGTCAGATTGGAAGCCCTTCTGCCGGCGGAGTTCTCGCCATCTTTCAAAGGCTTTTCCAATGTAAATTCAGGACTTTGCGTGTTCCTTCTTCTTTTACCTCTTCTTTGCATTTTTGCAAACTGTTCATCGGAACGTCGTCTCTTTGGTCATGTGTCGGCCATATCAAACTTAAAGACTTATAATTCTGACTTCCCTCTTCATGCTTCTCTCCTCCACACCCCCCTTCATGTGTACGCGCACTAACCCCCCAAATCATTCTTGTAGGTTATTGGCTGGAACACTTTGTTTTGTTTTCGTGGTGCGGGTTGGCCCAGTCTGTTTTTGTTGCCGTTTGTGGAGCCTGGGCTGTCTACAGAGACCGCGTTTTTTTTTACAGTGTGTTTAGGGGACAGGCAGCTAGCGGATAGTGAGGTAGAAATAGAGAGTTAGAAATAGAGAGAAATAGAGAGTTTGCTGTATGTGACAAAAACATTTTGGCCTAAAAACGCGTGACATCGCTTAGAGTACCTTTAACAAATCCAAAACATCTCTACAATTCATGGGTCACCCGTACTTGAAATTGTCTCCATAACCCTTATGCTAACAGCTCTGATCTTTAACCTTTAAGATATGTCTGCATGTTTTTTTAATGAGCAAAATTAATGGATAACTGCAGTGCAAAGGAACAAACAGAAATAGAGAGACAAGTCTAAAATGTAACTTAGATTAGCCAAAGCAATCTAATTTAACATTTGTTCTTACAGTGCTAATACTTCTCAACTCAATATTACAAATTACAGATTAACAATGATTTAAAGGGGTGATGAACTGAGAAATCAAATTTTCCTTGAGCTTTTGACATCTAAGAGGTCATCATATTATAAGAATATCCTGTAAATTTCAGAACTGAAAACGTCCTTGTTAGTCCAATAAAAGCTTTTATTGACACCAGGCTCAGCAAACGACTCGTTTTTCAAAGTGGGGAACCGAGCGTTTGTGAGCTAGGCTCAAAACTAGGGTAGAAAATAGCCTATTACTTATTCATTTTTATGTTTTTGAATGTAAAAACCAAGCGAACGTCATAAGTTGACCTCAGACAACAATTTAAAAAAAAATAAAAAGCCAGTTCATGACCCCTTTAAGGAGCATGTGAAAGTGGCCAAGCCCAATACTCTCATGGTCCCTCGATGTTTGCATAAGTTTACTACACAAGTGAAAATGATACAGATAAATTTGCTTATTTACAAAGACAAATACAAGAGCATAAGTTTGTACATTCAAACACTCCCAATATGATTCTAATAAAGTTATTCTTAAGATGACAATGATCCCTCCAATTCACTGTATAATGATACTATCCCCTGCATTTGTGTTGTTTTTCTGCCATCAATTTTTGATTGAAGACTCAAACAGAGATACATTTACCATTTGGTTGAACTGAGCAAAGTATACTTGCTTTGGACAAGTAAAAAATAAGCATAAAACCATTAAAACAGAAACACATCAGCAGTTACAAGAACTTTTTAGCTGAAATTGTTATATGAAATACAGCCATTCAAAATCATGACAAAGAAACAGTAGCAGCTTATGTGACATTCCGAAATTATCATGGACTCCTGAGTTAAAAAAAAAAACATGTGCAATGTATTTCACAGTTTATAAATAAGGATGCAACATAATTTCGTAATATTTTTAAATTCCGGGGGAGGAAAACTAAACAAGCTACTACATTGTTTCTTAAGATGACAGGACAAACAAACGGTAGTATGAAACTAGGACACAAAAATGAGACGAGGACACAGAGACATAATTTGGACCCTGTGGTTTACACAGTACTAATGATGGACAGATTGATTCTTAATAGATAATGTTGACCACATATATGTTAGATAAAATGTAAACACATAAAATATTTTTTTAAATGCAGCTAGATTATAAATAAACAGACTAAATGAATTTACAGTTTGCCTTGTATAATGAAGTGGCACCAACAGTGAATGAATTATATCTAGGTTTAAAATCAAACCTTTTTGTTGCAGATCATTTGTAAATTAAAATTTTTGCAAGGGACAAAACAACTATAAAGCCCTACAAAATTAGTTTAAGGCAGGATATCTTTGGACTTTTTATAATATAACATAATAATTAGAATGTTCCCCAGGTTTAACCGTTCTTTAACAGTCTTAATTGTTTTGTACTGTGCCCTTCCTTGAATGGTAAAAAAAAAGAAAAAAAAGAATCAATACCTAAACAGTATACGTGATGCAAAATGATATCCTGAAGCACACTCTGTGAGTGCCATTTAGGAAATGAGCTTCTTCTGTTTGAAGTATGTGTCAAACCTGTGCTGTGCGTAGTCCTTTAGAGAAAAGCAGAAAGAGAGAGACAGAAATGAGGTGAAGTTTCACATGACTTCAGATCAGTGACGAACAGAGGGGATTTGTTCTGTACACACTGCTATGTTTACTGTATACATAACTATGATGCGGTTTGATTGAGCTCTCAGAATCGAGGATTACTTAACCATTTATGGTACATTCACTACAATCTTAAAATGAATGTATAAGTGAATATTTATATTTTTAGGTGATGTACTGGTCACCACTGATATGCAATTAATGTGATTAATTAGGGCTTCAAGTAATTCCATTACAATTTAAATACATTGACAGTCCTAAATAAATCATCGTACAAGGATTAGGAAAATGTTTATGAGGTTTATAATCTGTGTGTTGTGATACAATTTTTATATTTTACCATGTATCCAAACTCGATTTTGGAGATCTTGGCTTGAATAATGGACCACAGACCCCAGAGGAAATGAGACGCAAGGGCAAACCTGTTTGTGTGCGTGTGATTTTTTGAGAGATTGGAAAACAAACAGATAGAAAGGTTACTAGGTGGAGGGGAAAATTCATCAAACGGTACACAGTGATGTTCTTTCCAGGTTATGTCAATAAAAGTTTGATAGTAAATGCGTTTCATACCGGTTCGCCTCAATGATCATGTCCTCCTCTATCGTGGCTTGGTCTGCAGGTGCAGTTCCCCCCCTTTCTGACAGATAGTGTCTGATAAAATGTAACTGAAAAACAAAGACTCTTAAAATACTATCTATAGGAATATCTTTTTATTTATTTTTTAAGTATTAATTATATTTAAGATATTTAAAAAGGACTGACATTGTCCCCTGCTTGATGACACAATTTAGCTAATTTCTAATGACTTTGCATCAGGAATAAATTCTTGGACAATTAAATATTATGCTGTTAAATATTAATATGGTGCGAGTCAGGCTGCTGACCTCTGCATGTAAAAGTTATTGTGATAACCTTTGACACACTTTTTATGTCACATCAGTTCCAAAACATTCCACTAGATGGCAGTCACAAAATGATATCCACATCATGTCCAACACCAATTATTTCTTACAACTACTTGACAAAGGTGGACAAATATCAAGCAACAAACTAATGTCAATTATATAATTTGTGATGATGCTGTACTGTGTGTGTGTGTGTGTGTGTGTGTGCGCAAAAAAACAGAGAAAAAATAACAACAACAAATCTGGCATAGAATCATTCTAAGGTTTCAGGTTTTTTTCCACACTTTTATGTCCCCATAAATTATTCCTTAATACATTGGATAACATTACATTCACAACTTTTATTCACAATTAAGTGAATATAACAATTAACATGAACAATTTTTCATTTTTCTTCATCTTTTCCTTTAATCAAAATGCTTGATACAAAGCATGTTTTTAAAAGAAATACTGCTGTACCTAGATATCATTTTATAATGTTCTCAATTTTACTTTTACTATTCGTAAAGATGCTTTGGAGTGATAGTACACAACATCTAAAGAAAATGAAATTGTAACTTTGTTTTTCAGTTGACAGCTTGTCAGTCTACAAGTTGATCTTTTTGGTTTTTTTTTGCTCGTCTAATCTTTTGTAATATCAAGACAAATAATGATTAGGCTGTAATGTGTGGGTGGGCAGGTAGTGACTCACCTGCTGTTGTCTGTCAGGGTAATTCTCCACCTTTGCCTTGTAGAAGGGCCACTGGTCATATGTGTAGTCATATATCCATTCACAGAAATGATTTCCAAAATCAAAGCCTCTGCACTCAGAACAGACCAAAATCAGAGTTCTTTAGAGCTGCATTTATCATAAATAATAAAATAGTATGCAGATGTGTGCTATATATGGTAGATTTACCTGTAGTTATAGCTGCTGTATTCAAAATCAATAAGCATTAGTTTGTCAGATGAATTCTCTCGGCCATCCAACATAAGGATATTCCCTGAAAAACAAAGTATGATTTTATAGGTGAAAGGGCAGATAGGTTACATAATGGTACAGCGTAACAGTGACTGATAGACCCGTATCAGATTACCAGATTAGACAGGACACTAGTATGCGTGTATTAATGCAAATGTGCAATCTTTTACCTTCCTGTACATCATTATGGCAGAACACAACGGGAGAGGGAGTAGCTGCCAGCAGTGACCTGACAGAGAGAGAGAGACGGCACATGATTAAGTGCTACTTTTTCACATTGCTCTTATAAACCTGCTTTTAAAATGATTGTTTTCAGTGTTTAAAAGACCATTGAACAAAAAGTGCAGCAATGGGCAGGAACACACACACACATACAGAGCAGTAGGTAAGCATTTCATTCAGATAAAAGTTACACAATCACGTGTGCGTGTGTGTGATTGACAAAGCAAGCTGAGTATGCACAGAATGCAGCTTCCTGTAAGTGTGCCTAATCAGTGATGCCTGGAACTGGGCTAAGGGTGCTGGCATACAACAAAGCCGTTCAAATGTTTAGGGTCAGTAAGATTTTTTTTTCTTTTAAAGAAATTAATACTTTTGTTCAGCAAGGATGCATTTAATTGATCAAAAGTGATAGTAAATATATTTATAATTATACAAAAGATTTCCATTTAAAATAAATGCTGTTCTTTTGAACTCTATTCACTAAAAATCAAGATTCTTTTATTATAAATGTTTCCACAAAAATATTAAACAGAATGGCTGTTTTCAACATAGATAATAATAATAAATTCTAACTTTTAGAACGGAAAACTTTTAGATGCTTCATGCATTCAATGACCTTGGCCGTTTACTGTTAACTGGAAGTTTAATATCACAAAATGATTTTCATTCAACCTCTCTGCTCTTTCTATTCACATGTCATCTTTCTCACCTCAGACTCTCCAGTTCTGCAGGAAGATCATACTTCATCAGCTTGTTAAATTTCTTGATGTGAGCTTCACGCACAAATTTTATTGTTTTAACTTGCTCCATGTACCTGTTCAGAAGGACAAAAACAATCATTTAACATAAACAGTCATTTAAAACTGATGCCAATAGGGCTTGGGTGCCACGTTGCATTCTGGGACGTGGCGGCCATGTTGATGGCCTCGCGAATGTAAACATACAGCAAGTCGAACGAGGAGAAGAAGCAAAGTTGGGAGAAAGAAAAGAAAGAAAAAAGATGTTAAAATCCCAGCCTAAAAGGATGTGGAATTTACCGAGATAAGTTAAATAGGGAAGCCAGGGACCGGTATGTGGACAAAATCGGCACTATTAACGGTTTGGATCCATATGAAATTTCCAACAAATGGCGCTTTTCCACTGCTGGTACGGCTCAGTACGTTTCGGCTCGGCGCGGCACGGTTTGCTTTTCCACTGCGTGGTACGACTCGGCACGGCACGGCTCGGTTCGCTTTAGCTCGGTTTGCTTTTCCACTGCAGTTAGTACCGCTTCAAAGTGGGTGGGATTATAGTCTGACCGTTATAGTTTATCCGCTCCTCGGCAACCAACGAGAGGAACGTCTGCACTTCGTCCACAGACAACGATTCAGCCATTTCTTTTTTGGAAGTTTTCTTTCTTTCTTTTTTCTTCAACAAGTCAAGCAAGTGGTTTTAAAATAGGTGCTTCAGCGGTGGCTGTTACTGGCTATTTAAATCTAGCGGGTTTGATGTCTCGCAAATACAATGACGCTGGTAGTGACGATTCTGTCTGACCAATCAGTGATCTGCAGTGTGTTCACGTAACATTTTAGTATCGGTACGGTACCTTGTTTGTGGTGTGAAATAGTAACGCCAAATTAATCAAATTAAGACACACGACTGAGAGGGTGTACGTCTATAAACAGTGCGCAGTAGCAGTAAAGGAGGAAATCAACATGGCGGCCACGCCAAGTAATGACGTCACGACGCCCAAGCCCTATTTAAACATACAGTATACAGCAAACATAATAAACCACGATCTGCGTAATTTAAATATAATTTGTAAAATATTATGCTTTTTTTCATTTTTACCTTTCTTTTAGTGTGTAATATAGCTGTTAAACAATTGTAATAGTCTGTACTCCTGCTATTATTTCCATAACGTGGTGACGTCACTATGTAACACAACTGAATATGCTCGCCTGCTTTTTGCTCGCCCTCAAACAAAGGTAGGTATAAGGCCAGGAAGAGTTTATCACTATGCCGAGGAAATACTCTTTTTTTTTTTTCACTGCGAGGGCAAAACATCATCACATGGACTTCCAAACGGCAAAGGAATTAAAGAATCAGTGGTTAAAATACATTTCTGACACTATTCCTCAGCAGTACAACCACAACCTTTTGTTGTGTTTTCACCATTTTTCTAACAACCCATGCAGTTTGATGGAGGTCAGCTTTTACTGTGATGTAGAGAAATGACAGTCAAAATAATCAGAGCCGGACAGTAACGGAGTACATTTACTTGAGTACAGTACTTAAGTACAATTTTGAGGGATCTGTACTTTACTCGAGTATCATTTTTGGGGAGTACTCATGACTTTACTCAAGTACATTTGAGAGGCAAATATTGTACTCTTTACTCCAATACATTTCTATCCATAACCGTGAGTACCCGAGTAAAAAAAAACGTTTGTTTCCCTCTCAAACGTGATTGGATTGTGCAGGCGCCACTGATTGGGACAGCCTATCAGCAATCACTTTCAGCTTTCCGCCAAAGTCAACTCCATGGTCAGATTTTATATTACACATTAATGTAAGCCAAGCATTTAGTTTGATGTTCTTGAGTATGTGGTGTGTTTAACACAGTCAGGTTCAAATGTGGCAGTGGCGTAGCCACGAGGGATTTCTGATTTCTTAAAAAAAAAACTTTAGGAGGCAAAATATATTTTTACTGATTATGTGAATTACACTGCGCAAACCAAAGTAGGCTACTACCCAGCGAATGAAGAAGGGTTGGTGCTCAGTCTCCACAGTACATAAAATATTAATTTTGTTTTATTTTATTTTTCGGGTTTGCATTTATGAGGAAAAAACAATGTTATGGACGTGTTCTCTGTTACGGACGTGAGCGCTCTGAAAGCGGCATAAAAAATGCTTTAAAACTTTCACAGAGACATCAAACAGAAAACACAAAACCTTTCTTTAACCTGAATTTCGTTTTGCATTAATTGTATCTTAATTTTAATCAATGTTTCATCAACCAATTGCCTGGGTTTAATAAATAAGAAGTAAATAGCAGACGATAGATAAGAAACGGAGGCGCCGGCACGTGAACTGGATCTCGTCTCATAAATGAACCGAAACTCAGTGTATAAGGTAGCCTACTTGCCTCACAGACATGTCTACTTTTAAACGAAAGAAAACAGACTACAGACTGCTCTCTGCTTATGTAATCTGTATGAAATGTGCATTTCTCTCTGGCGCTTTCACTACTGAAGATCGCGAGTCAGCATCGTCAACTTCATCTTAGCCGACACTGACAAAGAAAACACTTGTTTATTAACAAGTGTTTATTAATAAACAATTAAAATATCTCCTTGCTATATTTTACATATTCATAATCATTCCTTTTGCCGGTTCTTTGTGACAGCTTTTAGGTGCTTTATTGGCAGCGCCACCCTTACATGTGGTGTGTGTGTTGTCCCCGCATTTAAAGATGGGACTTCCCAAAAATGTAATTAAATTAAATAAAGCAACATGGTAAAAAGATGAAAATGACTTGATTTTACTTTCAATTCCTTTTACATTCTCCAAGGTATTAACATTAACATTTTTCATAACTCCATGTAGGACGTTTTTGTGCATAAATGTAAGCACTGTGGCAGTAGATTACTAATGCAATATTTAGAAAATCTACTCTTGTACTCTTGATACTCAAGTACTTTTAAAAACAAGTACTTTAGTACTTTTACTTAAGTAGACATCTGAATGTAGTACTTTTACTTGTACTTGAGTAAAATTTAGCAAGGGGTATCTGTACTTTTACTCAAGTAACAAAGCTCTGTACTCTGTCCGCCTCTGAAAATAATACATCTGAAATGTTACAGGTTTAAAATAAAGAATTACCTAAAAATACCTAAAATAAAGAATTTGCGTTGATCAGAAAGTCTTGAAAGTCATTATCGAACTTGGGCTTGAACTTATATGAATATATGTTACTGTTGTAACAATTACAACAGACTGTGTCTGGCTGACCAATCAAAGAAGTCAATGCTTTGTGGAAGGCAGGTTTTAAAGAACCAAAACTTAAACAGAGCCCTTTAAGACAAATTTCTTCCATTAGCTTAATTACATTTTCTAGGGCATTTTTTGTTATTCTTCAGGTAAACTAAGAATTTAAAGTGTTAATTTTTTGTGTTAAAATTTCAACAAAATATGTCTGTTTAAAACATATTTCCCAAATCAGCCAAACAGATAGTTAAGCTCAAAGTCACTTGAGCGCGTGAAAACAAAGTCCACTAGACAGTGCGCACGCGCTGAATAGCCGCGTTTCCACTGCCGGGCTAGGGCCGGGCCAGGGCTAACAGTGAGCCGAGCCGAGCCAGTGGCCTCGGGCCTCAGGCACCGGGCTTGCGTTTCCACTGCCGGGCCAGTAGCCCCGCAGCGCTGCCCTAAACCCCGCCCCTAACACGCCTTTCTGGATCAAACGTCATACAACCCAACCCATTTCAGCGGGTATTATGAATTTATTTATTTTTTAAGTTAGGAAGATAGCATGTTTATTAACTCACCGGCCGTGGCTGCAGCCTGCAATAGTGTCCAGATTGTCTCGCGAGTCGCCACTAACAGAGGGACGGTGACCCAGCACACCGTCCATCAAGTCGAACCATGGAATTTGGAAAGTTCCTTCTCTGAACTCCGCTTTGTCCATTGTGCGTTTGAATCGCCTTGTATAATACTGCGCCCGCAACTTTTTTTTTTCCTGAACTTGAAGCGTTGCTCGCTGAATGCTTAGCTTAGAAAGTTCAGCATCGATGTATTTTATAACGTCTTCGTTTCTTCACACGACGTCAAATTGACGTTGTACCCTTTCTTCTGCCCAAATGCTCAGAAGAGCTTTGGTATCTTTGACAGACCAGTACAGGCGATTCTCCATTTCAAGCAGCGATTATTTTGCGCGATATAAAAAAGTGAAATGTGCATCTTGCTTCAGATCATAACGTTCCATAACACCGATAAACTCCGCCTTTTACCTTGACCACGCCTCTAGCCCGAGCTGGCCCAAGGTATTCGACGGGCCAGAAATCCTGGCCGTTGGCCCCGAGTAAGCCCCGATCAAGCCCCGGAAGTGACAGTGGAAACGCGACTGGCTCTGGCACTCACTAGCACGGCTCGGCCCTGGCCCGGCAGTGGAAACGCCGCTAATGTGTCTTTCCACACTCACGGCCAAAGGAACGCGGAAATTTAAGTATACCAGGCCTTAAGGCTTTTACCTGTCAATCGTTCCAAACAGCCATTTGGGTTCTTTGTTGAATGGCATCTCCATGCCGTGGAATCGTGCCACCTTACTGGCTATTTCAGCCGAGATCTCTGGGAACCCCAACTGCTCCGTACGCAAACGATCACTCTGTGGAAAAGAAGCAGATCTGACTTATCACTCTTACAATGCAGAAATATGTAGAATGTAAAATGTTTGATCTATGATTAGGGCTGCAACAAACGATTATTTTGATAATCGATTAATCTAACGATTATTAGAACGATTAATCGACTAATCGTCTATTATTTCGCAGACTAATCAGTAAGTTTGGAACGATTATTCAGCTTTTCCAATTAGTTAAAACATTGAGTTATACATATTCTAACTATAATATAAAAAAAGAAAATCACTTCAGCTTTTGAAATAGTTGTTTTAATGAACTTTGAGCCAATTAAACAGGTCATTCTCTTTAAGTTTTCAGATTTCGGTCCAACTCAAATCACACACAAATGCTCTCTAAGCATTGTTTAATAGGCCCACTGCTTTTCTTAGAACTGAAACAGAAAAAGGGACATTTACTTCAGGACACAAAGAATGGTAAAATATTAATCTGCAAACAATTATTATAATTATAAAATTACAATCTTTTTTTACATGACAATTTAGCTGACAGAGACGTTCTCATTCACCTTTTAATTTATAGTATGATAAAGTAACTGCCATGATATTCTTCCTATATCATAGGAAGGATATAACATCTCGTTTTGTAAGTCTTCATGATTATTGAACAAAATACAGGCAAGTGATAAGACTATAATAATACCTAATATATAGTGTTACAATAATAAAAACAGCCCTGACTCCTAAGCTCGATCAAGCTTTATTCTATACAAAATAAGTCATCACATTACTGTAATTATATTACTATTGATAATATTATTACTATTATTAGTAGTATTGCATTCTCTAATAAAGAAAGATTTGCCGCTGGTTGGTTAGCTCCAGCTGGAGAACACTCACTTCTCACCGGCTCCTCTTTTGCCGGGATGTTTCCTCTTGCACCCCAACATTTCACACGACAGCATTCTTGATTTGAAGTTTTGTGAAACTTTCCCAAACCTAAACCTTGCTAGTTCGGATTCGTTTGCACTGTCATAATTCGCGCTGTTTTCTCTTCTACCGCAATAGCATTTGTAAGGGCTGCACTACACTCTAGCGCTACAGCGCCGTAGCGGTCAAATCGCGGGATTGCAGGCCCTTACATTAGGTCACGTGAGATCAAACGACTACTCGACAACAAAGATATTTGTCGACAAATTTTTATTGTCGACGTTGTCGACAACGTCGACTAATCGTTGCAGCCCTATCTATGATTAAGGTTTTAAAATCACTCCTATAGAATGACTGCATTATTCAAGTGTTGTGGTGTTTAAAGATTCATTTTAAAACATGCATATAGGATCTGGGATTTTGGTGTAAGACTCACAGGCAAGTACTGCTCAAGACGGCCTTCTGGGAAAATGCCATAGAGACGTGGGCCCAACTCTCTCTCTGCTAAAATGGCAAACATCACACTTTCCAAAACAAGAGAATCCACTCCCTGTTTGTGCATATGAACAAATGATTAGATATCCATTAGTTATATAACAGTGAATCGACAACATTGGGCAATAAAGATCTAAGATATAGACAGCTTGCTGTTGCAACTGTATTTTTGGTCTACTGAATGTGATCAGGGTGGCCCACCTGCAGAATGGCCCCGTAGATCCGGAGCAGAACTCTTCGAGGTTCGGTCCCGACAGGCTGAACATCGTTTGGTAAACTGCACATGTACAGCAGGTTACTGAGTCCTCCACTGCAGGCACAAACAAAAGCAGTATTATACTTTATTCCTATTCACACAGTTTATAAGTTCGATATTTAATAAGAATAAATAGTGGATCACAAGATATATAATACATACATATATATATATATATATATATTAAATATTGGCAAGGGGATAATATCTGATTATTTAGAATCTTAAATACTTATATGAACTTTCATAACCCGTTTATTACCTTACTATTTTGATCCGAAAGTCAGGTTCTGATATAGTCTTCCAAGACCCGGACAGAAAGTCTCGGCACCAGGTGAACGCCCTCCTTCTAGTATCCGGGTCCACATCCACGTTACGCCCGTCCAAGTGTGCCTCCGCTTCAGAGTCATCATCCCAGTTAGCGCCGCGCGGACTGCCGGTTCTCGGATGTCTCTCTTCGGCCACCATCAGTGAGTCTTCGCCAGCAGGTCTGTCCGAATCCGCGTCACCTTTAACGCATCTGCCTACATTTCCAGCAGCACCATCACTCATGCAATTCACTTTTTGGCTCGAATGCATGATCTTACGCGCTAGAAAAACCCAATGCTCCTTAAAGAAAGTGAGAGAACCGAACCGCTAACGTTATAACCAAGGACACCGAACCGCCCCAGAAGCAGCATTCATTGAGCTTGAATAAACGCACATGCACCACTGTCACGAGCGCACAATGAAACATATAATCGCTCGCGATATCAGAACTGCGTTTACGGCGAGAGAAACGGCCGTTGGATTAAAAATATCAGAAAAATCAATAGCTATTTTTTCCACACATTACCTTTCCTTGAATGTTACATTAACTACACAGACGTAGTAACAAACTGTAAAGGCAGTTAATTAAATATCTCCGCACTACAACTTCCACTACTTCCTTCTGAAGTAAAACCGCTAGTGTTGACATTGCAGAATGCAGAGAGACTTTAAAAGATTGACATTTTTTTTAACCAATCAGATTTGGATACTGCGGCACGCGACCCATTTCTAAGTACAGCCCCCTTAAAGCCAGGGCGCTGAATGGTCAGTTCTAAGACAACTACAATAATTAGGGAAGTGTAGTTAAGTTAACACACAGTACAAAAAAAGTACAATATATTATATGTTGAAAAGTACAATGTTACAGTAAAATCTAAAAATCGAATTAGTTAACTAAAGTAACTAGACTATATACGATAAAAATAACATTTGTAATATAGCCTTTATGTGATTTCTATGGTGATTTCACTTTAAGTAGCCTATCGTAAGGAGTGTTTTTTAGAAGTAGGCTATAAAATGATTTATCTTATTATTCAGAAAGGGGCATTCCTAGAATTTCTATTAAATGCCATTATATTTGCTTACATTTTATTTAAAAACGAAGATTATTTTATTTATCTGGGTTATGTTTTATTTATTAAGGGCTATTTATTTTACATTGGTGGTTACATCATATTCTGTTTAGTTAATGTTTATAGCATTATTTTATTTTAATATATGTTGGTGTTATAGTGTTTGTGTGGGTAGTTACGGGAAAAAAAAACATTCTTTGGAACTTCACGTGGCATTCCATTGTACCACTACATTATTCGTATATTTTATGTAATAACAAATAGATTATCACTTTATCATTACTCTGTTTTCTGCTAAATTTCTGGAAACCACAGTTAATCTTTTTTTTAATAAACGAAAATATTTATTTATTTATTTACTTACTTACTTACAGTTGTTTACCTTTAAGATACTAGTTAATGATGTAATTGCATAGCCTTTTGTTATCAACTCTTACAGCACTATTTACAGCTGAAATTAATGGCACTGAATCTTCCACACACACACACACACACACACACACACGCACGCACACACACACACACACACACACACACACACACACACACACACACACACACACACACACACACACACACACACGCACACACACACACGCGCGCACACACACACACACACACACACACACACACACACACACACACACACACACACACACACACACACACACACACACACACACACACACACACACACACACACACACACACACACACACACAGACCTTAAAATCACGTTGTCAGCAAGGAAACCCCACGACCTAAAAGAGACTTCATTACAGCACAACATGTTCCCTGCATTACCCACGAGCACCACTGTGGCCACTCTTACTGTCAGTAAAGCTTTCAGCACCAATCACTGAACAGCTCCTCTGCGGCAGAACGAGGGTTAATGATCCAAGTGAATGATGAGTGCATACTTTTGTGCATACTTTTGCAATTATTTTTCACTTAAATATTATTTAATTTACAACTAAATTTACAACATTGGTGATCTGAGATAATGATAGGCCTGTCTATCATACCGTACGTTGGGCCTATAAATCTATTAGCCTAGTTAATGGATACTGAATTAGTAGAATAGGCCTATATGCCCATAAAACAAAAACATTGTCAAGCTACAGTAGCCTATATGCCCACACGAAACATCGTGCTGCTGCAAAATCTTACGTAGCTCTCGAACGGGATTATAGAGCAGTTAACTACTAACTGTTTTAAAACCCTTCCTCCTCTAGATGGCGCTCGGTGGCTCAGAAAACAAATCCTACACTGAGCCGCATCTGCGCAAAGAAAAGTAACTGATACCACGTGATATGATTGACTTTGTTAATTTTGTAAAAAGGAATTCATCCCAAAACTTTTGGATTAACCAATAATAAATACATAAATGAATGAATTAATTAATACATATTTTTGATTTTTTCATATTATTTTTAATTACTATGCTTTTCTGTTTTTTTATTTTATTTTACATAGGCCTTTTAAATTATTTAAACTTACTGCTTGTTCAATTGTTGCTCTAAACACAAACCGTAACTTTTGCAATTTAGTTAATAATCCATTAGCCTGACCAATCAGAGACAGTTTATGGAACTCTAAGCCACACCCACTTATAGGACTCGTTTCGTGTTCATTGGCATTCTATCCGCTCGTTCTATTTCTATGGGATCGCATGCACGCGCCTCTGCCTCCCTCCCTCATCAGCATCAGCATCATCAGATGCGCGCAGATCACGCCAAAGAGCGCACTGGTTTATCAGCAGGTGTGTGACTAAAACAGAAGATAATCGATATCAATACATAGCCACCTGTGTGTGCTCTATATATCTGACTCTCATTTCTTTGGATCACCGATTGGACCGTTTTGATGTTTTGATTCCCAGCGGGCGTTAGCAGTCAGTGTGGCCGAAAAGGAGAGAGAATAAAGCGAGATCATATTTAATATCCGCTTCTCCAGTGTCTGTGGATGGGCTGCGGACATCTGCATCTGCAGTCTCTGTTTTTGAGTCACTAAGAAGATGGCGGACAGGGCAGAGATGTTTTCTCTCTCCACCTTCCACTCCCTCTCTCCTCCGGGATGCAGGTAAGACGCGCAGTATTTCTCTCAAGTATGCGCGGGGTTTCCTCTTCTTCTGGCATTTTTATTTATATAAACTGGTCATATGTGACCACATGCGCTGTTTATGTATATGTAATGTCCTCAAACACATCCAGAATTCAGCATCAGCATCCGCAAGAAGTGATGCTCAGCATCCTTGTGTTGTTAATGAGGATTAACAATAACGCCCTTGTTGTTGTTTTTTTTAATTTATTTATTTATTTATTTTTGCACGTATGCGTGTATGTAAAATAATGCACTTATGTGCATGATATTGAGCAAAGGACAGACAATTGATTTTTTCTCCCCCCCTGGCATGTCATTGCCTGACGCATCCTCTCTGAGATAGTTGGCATACTGGAAAGGCCCACGCCCTGTTGTGATGCTCATAACTGCATTTTAATGTTTGATGACACATTACAGTGTTCCCACAATTGTGTAATTATATAGTGGTGAGTAATACTAATGAACAGTACATAATTGTGTTGTGGAGCTGCATGTAATTGCACATTGTTATTGGTATTATGCTTTAATAATTCTTAATAACTAACATCTAATATGGGCATTTATGTGTAATGTAAGTTGTTACCTCATTCTTCTGTCACTTTATGCAATAATTTACTACCATCCATGAGTAGCGTATAATGGATTGTTTTTAAATACACTTTTTTGTATTGGGTAAGAGGGTAGATGTTCATTAAAAGTTTGATGTGCTGTGCATATTGCGTTAACTTGGCTAGTAAATAATTCTTGACATGTGAATGTACCTAGTACAATGTACCAAGTATTAGTCATTTAAATGGATGAATGGAGCCACATCACATTCTGAAAACAATATATTCTCAGTTCTGTTTCAATGTAAAAATTGCAGTTGCTTCTATAAGGAGTTTCTATCTGACCTGACACTTAAAATGACTTTCATTGGTGTAACACAATAGTCAGGTCAATTCAGTTATATTAAATAATATTTTTCACTTTAATAAAATAAGTTAATTTAGATGTTACCGCATTAAGTGCATTTTAGGTTATTTTATAAAAAAATTTGAATACTGTAGAAATGCAAATTGCTTTCAGCTACTGTTGGTGCATTAAAACGTATAATAATTTTAAACTATTGAAATCATTTTAACTCCCTTTTGTTAGCTTGTTGGATTATTTATTAGATTATTAAATTTAACAAAATATATGGTACTCTTTTGATTAAACTGCTAAATGTAAATATTTAATTGAGGTGCAGTAAATTAAGTATGGTTTAGATTTAATAAAGATGAAGGGAAATAGTTGGCTTAACTTGGCTACAACCACCCAATGAGGGACAGTTCATTTTCATTTTCTTCATGGCATGTATGACCTACTGGTCCACTTGTCACTCTGTCATCTAGTGTTTTAGTGTAAGGGTATGCAATATGTATCACATTTTATTCCTGAAATAAAGGTGATGTTTGCTCACAGGGAATATTTAGTCACAACAAACACAAAGACAGACGGAGAGAGTAATCCTTCCACCTTCATACTAAACTAAATTTACCTCCTGCACAGCATCAGTATATGTGAGCAGAAATAAAACATTCGAATAATCCTTCAGCATCCAGCAGAATAAATCAAAAGGGTCTGGTGGGTTACATCACATTTGACAGTCCGATCATCTCAGGTCAAGCGTCAATCATGTGCTGGAAAAGGGCAGGTGATTTCAACTGCATGGGCTGTAAATGTAAGCCCTCAGATTCTACTCGCACTGCTCTGAGCCGTATTCTACTCTTTAGCGTCCTTGTTACCTCTCAAAGGTGTGTGCGCTAACAAGGACGCTAATACACTAATACACTAGATGACAGTGTGACAGGAAGACCAGTAGGTCATAACTGCCATGGAGAAAATGAAAATGAACTGTCATTCATTGGGCGGTCTACAAAAGAGTTGACCGCAGACTCTAACGTCAGCCACTAGTGTGCCTCTTGAGGCCAGTGCAGTGAGATTTACCTGCACAGCCCTTTACTAGCTGGCCTCCGTTACACTCAACCCCGTAAGCCTCACTCCCATCCGGGTCACGGCACCAATGCAATGTAACCCCTCCGGTTCTACTCGCACTGCTCTGAAACAGATGTTTCTGGCACGGGAGGCAAGCACACTAATAAGGACGTTAAAGATCTCAGCCTCTAGCGTATGTCGCTAATGCGCCTCTTGAGGCCAGGGAAGTG